CCGTGCCGCCAGGCCCTACAATATATCTGTATACACATGCATGTATATGTATGTATGTATATATATATATACCTTACGAGGCCCATCCTAGTCCCAAGAATATGCTCCTTGTCAAACCACCGAACAAGTGGTTAGGACTTCTCCCGGACGGCAGCAAACAACTTAGTCACTCTAGACTCGAGCCAGCGATTGGGCTCAGAAAGACTGTGCTCACCTATGTGCCTTCAGCAAGGTCCCGGAGAAAGCTCCTAAACTCTTGAGTTTAAACTGTACCAAGTATTTACAGTGTAAAAAGCTTTGGAAGTCTATGGAAGTCCGTGACCCGTTCACGAAGCAAGTGTTGAATGAGTTCAGGTTTAACAGGATAACCTGTCCGGTTAAACAGCATATTGTCTTCAATTTCTCACGTTGCGCATATGCTGCATATCCCTTTTAAACTTGAGGGGCGGGGCCAGGGGAACGAAAGCTAGCCTAGGCTGGAGGGACGGCAAACGATACAGAGCTGGCTAGGCGGGGGGCTCCAAGCATCATCATGTCCAACCACAGCAGCACGCAAGGCAAACAGAGCTGACGAGGCGGGCAATCAGCAACGGAGGAGAAACAAAGCTGGCGAGGCGGGCTCCATCAGCAACGTGGGGGAAACAGAGATGGCATCATCACCTCCGGCACATCCAACCACATTAACAACTCAGCAGCAAGGAGGGGGGAGGGCAACTTGTTTGCGTCTGGGCCGGCGATCCCGGCCCACTGCTTATGCAGATAAAAACGAAAGCCTCGCTACGCTAGCTCGAGAAACAGAGAGCAAGCAACAGTCCATCCCGTACTTTTTCACGTATCCCAGTACTACGCTTTACCACCCAACGGCTGGCTGGAGCCTGTGTTAAACGGACTCGAACTTTCGATGACATGGACTACTGCGCCGCGCAGTGCTATCCTAACTGTTTCTGCAATTGGGGATGCTCGTTTCGCAACCTGAAAGCTTCGCAGAACTCAGCGCTATTCTTGCCATGAGACACTTAGAGCAATCATTACTGAGTCCTGTATAGAGGATGTACGTCTAACACCTATAACAAACACCTGCTGATGTCGTGCAAGGATTACATTTACCTTGTATGGCACGAGAACGAGAGCATAAACAAGTGCTGCACTGGACGCTCCTACGAGTATGTCAAATTTCACAGATATACTGCCGTTTTCAGCCTAAGGCCGTGTGTACCGAATCGCCTCCATGCTCAGCTTCTGCCGTTCCAGAAACGACTTCCTGGCAAAGAGGGCTCCTAGATTCTCCAGGTTCTTGGGGTCAAAGTCTAGTCAAGGGTTAATGGGTCTCGAGACCTCGGCATTGAGAGGTTTAGGGATTGAGCTTCTGCGGCTGCTGCACGTTTGAAAACATGTCTGATTCAAGGCGCCTCTATGAGACTTAGTTACCTGCCTCCTTCGTCGCGGTTCGCTGATACTGCCGGCCTGTTCAAGTTAGCCACGCTACGAACGCGGTGTCCGCATGACAAATGCAGAGCAATCAACCCACAGCGATGTAAAGTAATTCCATAACTCGGCTTTCTGTTTTGCTCTATGCGGGCTGCTGTCACTGCTGGCAAACATATCATCGAAGTCACGACTTCATAATTTCAAGCACGTACGCCTGGCCTGTCTGGATGATCCTCTGCTGCATTGGACCAGAAGCTTGCTGTCGAATCACTTCGTGCTGCACCACCTGACGCCGGCATTGTTCTCAAGTTCAAACACGCTTCGCATGACATCAGTCGAGATCATTGGCAAGTGGCAATGCAGATGCCAGTCATACAAGGTAGAGACGACTCTGGCCTTTGGGACCTCCACAGCAGTCTCTCGAACCAAGTTCACTGGCACCGGTACGACCTGCTTGCCAGAGAGCGAACAAATCAAAGCCTTGGCCCCACCTACCATACCTCACCCTAGCCAAGCAGATGTTTGGGTCTAGGTTCCGCATGCTCAAGAGCGCAAGAGTGCGATGCTATATGCAGCCAGCCATTGCTTGTAGAGACTGGCATTGCCAATCTTTGCATCTTACACACTTCTTTCCCGACCTTCTCGACCACCTTGGTCTCAACGATCCTGGCTTCGACACTGCTGTTGTACGAACAGCAGCCCGTGTGGTCAGGCAAATTAAAGCCAAACATGATGCCAGAATTAGCTGCATGTCAACTCCCACCAGCTGTGCAGCCATACGACCAGGACTCTCAGCACTAACGGGAAGCAATATTGAGCCGGCATTGCTTGGGCACGTGCTTCTGCACAACTTGCTTCTGATAGTTCGGCACCTGCTTACACTGGCGCTTTTTCTATGATACGGCTCTCATCCAAAAATGGCTGTCGCCTCCTTCACTGCCTGAGCTATCTGAACTTGTGGCACGTGCCGTAATCTCTCCTCGTAGAAGACCTGGCCACAACTCAAACGAGGGATTCAGCTCTGCACAGGGATGCTATCAGCAGAACTTGCCAAAAAGTCCACACGTTGTAGACCGACCTGGGGAACTTCAACTATTCTTTCCTCTGGCTGAAGGATCAGTTTCGGCACCTGCAGAGGATGGCGAGGACCACCAATCGGACAGAAAGCGTTACACTGCCTCTTTGTCCACCATCTCTACCTCAGGTTTGGGCACCTTGGAGACATCTTCCGGGCCGTCACGCTCACGGTGTGGCTTCTTGGCAAGCTTAGTTGCACGCCTGCACCATCAATTCTGCAATCTGGACCTGGGGCACTTCGACAGGGCGCTCCTGAAGGCGAAAACGCCGAGAGGCTCTGTGGCCGTAACTCTGACACTTAAAGCTCAAGGGAGAACAGGTCCTGCGTCAGTGTCACAGGCACCTGGCGAAGCCGAATGACTCAAGCAGCATATGCTTTCCCCTGCGGCACAAGTCTGAGGATGTGCCTCAACGACCTTCTCCTGTGGTTGCAGAACAACCTGTCAACAGAGGTCACCAAAGTTCGAAACGAAGTGGGCGCGGGAGACTTCCTTTTCTGGAGACAAATACTGAACCACTTCCTGCACTGACATGCTAGATCCGAGACTTCTGCGGTAGAGCACACTCTCCCTTTTGCTCATTGGCTCTTGCAACAAAGCGTTTATAGTGGGTTGCAGCGCTTTGGCCCTGGAGGCTAGCAGGCTCTGAACTGGATTGCGGTTTGGTCGACTAATTTTGAGGGCCGCATGCAGTGTTTAAGCCTTGCTGGTGCATGTATAAGAATGGTGTAGAGCATAGGAACAGTATGCGTTCAAAGGTGCGCCACAGGAATCAAGAGAATCAAGAGACTTCTGAATCTTGCCTTGGGAACCTCCTTCTTGACGTACTGGACGTGTGGTCGAGGCACCTGCGAGATGCTCAACATCAGAAGAGACGTGATCATGTCAGCCAGGCCGTTGGAAGCGGCACACAACGATGACCGGTACACTTTGAACTTGCATGCTTCGGGCATCGTGGAGCGCAACAAGTGGCCTGCGTTACAGCCTCCACATTGATGACTTCCGGGACCTCTATCGCTCGCTCCTCATAGATGACCTCTATTAAGAAAGGGACTGCCATGCTGCTTGTTGGCTATATGTCTTGCCATCCCAACTGCCTGCGGAACCTCCACAACCTTCTCCACGTACCTTCCCGGATCTTCAAAATGGCCAAGCCTGTATGTATGTATGTATGTATGTATGACACAAGCATGCTCATAACCAGACAATCGACAATCGAACAGAGTGCATAAATACAGACTGATATTCCGGCGGGAACACACGAACAGATTACAAGTCCGGGTTCGCACTTGACGATCTTTTTGGGGACCCGCTTCTCGATGTACTTCACCTTCAGTTTCTGCACATGCAGACTTAAGCAAAGGCTGTCTCTTGGATGTCTGAACTTTATGCAACAGCACATCACTGTAACATGTAACAGGGATCAAACTTTGCTTTAGGGCTAAACTGCAAAACACCCAACTGTCACGACTCTGCAAATCTTGATAACACACACGAAAAAGCCTCGAAATGTGCGACACGAGGGAAACGCTTGCTTGGGCACTCTTCGTCAGAAAACTCTGCGCGGAACTTGCGAATTTTCCTGCACAGACCTCATGTAAGCTGGGAAAGGTGTGGTTACACCAGGCTTTCCCCTATGTCGGACCGAGCTGCCTGGCAGGGCAATCTAGGCAAGGGCAGGCAGTGCCAAGTGCTTGGCAGGAGTGCCCTAGACGTGATGTTGCCTTCATGGTCGAACGTGGTTTGGTGAAATCAACGGGAAAATTCACTAAATGGACACTTGACAATTCTGTCAGTCTTCTGCGACTTCATGGACAGCCTTCCTCAGCTTCGCATTAAGCGAGACTGGCTCCAGCTCTTGCTGAAAGACGCAAGATCATCAGGCAGGTGCAGGGAAACAGCTTCAACGCAGTGTTCACGAGACTCTCGAATGTGTCATCGCATGAACTTCATCAGATTGCCGTTCGCACCCGAGTGATCTTGGCTGTGCTACTGAGCAATGCTAGGCCAGAATGCAAATATACTTTGGACCAGATGGCCAGCTGCATTCAAACCAAATTCTCAAATTGTGAATTGGCTCTGCCGACACAACAATACCTTGAGAGTAATCTCTACCAAAAGCATCAGTGTCCATACAAGGCACACGCAACTCGGCCAAGCCACAGTTTCTGACCAGCTCAGCCTTTTTCGCGAAAGCTGTCCTTTCCAAAGAACCAAGACACCGTGCTGCTCAACCACAGCAGAAAGGCAATCCCACTGCGTCCGGAGAAGCCACGTCAACTGCTTATTTACTGAGGCCGGCGGGTCGGCGCAGTGCTTGGCCGCGGTGCCTGGACAAAGGTACAAGAGTGAATCAGGATGGAGTTTAGTAGATTGGCATACATCTATTGCAGCAAACACTGGCGGAGCCGTGACCAGTCTTCAATAATGCGACATCGAGCAGCATAAGACCGCAGCATCAAGGATTCTCGGAACTCAGGAGAACATCCGAAATCAACACGCGCGATTAAAGTTCGCGCAATGCAACCACTTTAGTGAAGTCACAACAACGAATGATCAAAGCCCCTCTGGAGGCAATCACAACCATAATGGGGACAACAGATATTGGGAATCGGAAAAAATCACGACAGCATAACATTGTACGATGAGTAGAATCAGAGATGCAACCAGCATCGCCAGACAGTCCGACTATATCCGACTGTTTGCGGCTCAAAACGATCTCGAGGGCAGGCACCAGTAGATTTGACAAGAAACCGGAAGCGTGCCGCTCCAAGTTCCCCAGCCAAGCCTGCATATTGCTAGGCAGAAGTGGCAGCATCGAAGGCTTTTCCTGATGCAATCTTCCCGGAGCAGCATCCACCTTGCGGCGTATCACGTGTCCACACACCAGGCTAGACAAAGAGCAGCAGCAGCAGCAGCAGCAGCAGCAGCAGCAGCAGCAGCGGCAGCATGTATTGTTCACATGCTCCAGGTTCCCGCTGTCAGACACAAACCGAGAGGGCAACATCTGGTCCCAGCCTGCTTGTGGGCGTCTTGGAAGCCCTTGCCAACACCGCGGAGGAAGTCGTGTGCAACCTCCAACCTCGAAACACTGCCCCTGCTCATCTCGCATTTCAAAACACGCCTGCCAAGCTAAGAAAGGCACCTTTCTGCTAGGATGTGAACGTCGCCCTGACCACGGCTTAAATCGTCCAATCTCTCCAAGCAAAAAACGGAAGACGGAAGCGATTGCATCTTTCAAACCCGAGCTCCCAGAAGCATCAATAAAACGTTCTCTTGGGGAAAAAGGTGACACAGCTGACCGTGACAGCGGATGGCCTGCGTGCTGACAAACTCGGAGGTCAAACCGCTCAAATTCTTGGCATTGGACTGCACATCACGGTCCTCGGAAACAAAAGCGGTATGCAGGAAAAACTGTGAGTTTCGACTCTTGCTCCTAGTGTTTGTGCTTAAACCCAACATCCCCTATGTGCATGTCGTTTGCTAGATAACATCACATCGCTTGCTGTTCTTCGCTGGAAATCCTCTCTGCTATCCGTCTCGCTGCTGGCCGAGTTTCCACGCTTTGGAGCCGCAAATCCAAGCGAGTACAAGCAGCATCATGCTCCTGCATCTCTGCTACGTTCAACGAATGTCGAAAGACATGGCAACCAACGAGAACGGCAGCAAGCGTTGCTCTAGCGACAAAAGCATTCGCAAGGCCATGGTTGCCTCCTATATCCCCGAGGAACAATTTACATGGGCACAGACGCAGGTTGGAATAGCATCAGGAGCGAATCAGAAAAGCGAAACTGCTATGATATTATGAATTATGAACTATAATGTTGGACAGCAAATCCTGATAGATGGCCTGGCAAAGGCTTGAACCTGAACAGGACCTGTTGGCTAAGCCGAAGCTCGAAGCGGAAATGTCATATGTTGGCTGCCATGCCTCAAGACCTAAAGGAGATGATGGCTAGTATACCCCAACCAACCCTTCAAGGAAATGTTGGTTGGCAAACCGTGTACCTTGAAAGCACACGGTATCCCAAACCCTAAAAAAATATATGACAAGCGAGTGGTTGGCAAACCCGAAACTCTAAACGGAAATGTTTGCTGGTATACCCCGTCGGTTGGCAAACTTTGAATCGTTCCCGTAATTTGTTTTTTATATTTCGCTGGGTGTCAAATCAACTTTGAACACTCAAAGCAGATGTTGGTTGGCACTCCCGAAACCCCAAACGGAAGTCTCGGCGGTACAACCCTAACACGAACAACAAACAACGTCATGCAGGCCTGCGTTTCTGTACAATATAGTAGCAGTCAGACCTCACCGCATCATTACACGCTCCAGAACATCACACCTTAATGGCGTGAACTATGGCGACATGGTTTTTAACAACAGATTTCCTTGTGAAGTAGAACAGCAGTAATGCAAACAAATAAATACCCACTACGGGCTTAAGGAAACACATGCCATCCAGCAAACAAGCGGGAGAATAGGGGCCCACATGACGTTGTGTACTCAGAACGACATGTCGGTTGACAAACCCCGTACTTTTAACGAAAGATCGTGACTGGACAACCTTTCAAGCTTAGTGCAAACACATTGGTTGGTAAATCTTTTGGCCGTGGACTTACATTAAATTTTCAATATTGTGTTGGGTGGCACATGTTTGTTCACCATGAAAAAAAGATGTTGGTTAGCGGTTAAGAATCATGGAACCCTAAATGGAGATGTTGGTTGGCATACCCAACCAACCTCAAAAGGAACTTGTGGTTGGTAAACCCCCTTACCTGAAAAATGATCGTGGTTGGCAAATCCCAAACCCGAAAACAAACTGCTATTGGTCGGCAAACCCTGAAACGTAGCCTTACAGTATACTCAAAGAAGTCGGTTACAGGTTGACCAACCCTCAACACTAGAAGACGATGTTGGTTGCAAAGCCCCTTGTCAAAAAATCGGGTGGCCATGTTTATGTTTCCTGATTCGGAGCAGCATTTCCAGGAAGCCTCTACTCTCCTCTCAACACCCTCCATGCCTGCAGCTTGGTCATGGCTTCTTTTCGGAAGTCGAAAAGGCTGTGGATCTCCGTCTCAGCGACTCTGGCCTGCTCCACAAGCCTCTCCTGAGGAAGCGTCAGTTCTTTGCGCACTCCTTCATGTCGTGTCAAGACAAATTCCGGAGCTTGTTTCTGTTTTTTTTCTGCTGCTGCTGCTGCACACCGCGTGTCTGGCTACGACTAAATGTCTTGATTTTCGCGTCAACCCTCGGTTAATGTTCTGCGCAGGGGGGGCATAGAGTGACTGCCTGGCTGTGCACAAACAAAGCTTGTGTCAGTAGCAGTTCACGAAGGTTCTTTGTGGTTCATGACGGTGCACTGCAGGAGTGAAGCTTTGTTTCAACAATGAACGGCCATGTCCGGAGGTGCAATGTCTTTAGGTTGCATCTTTGCAATTTGATACTGTATGGTGCCAAGGCTACAAGCTACACATTCCCCACTGACATTGACTCCCCTCGTCATGTTATGTGACCTGCTCTATCCGCATCAGATGTCCTGCACAATGCCCTGCTCACCAATCTTGGCCGTGGAAGACCGCACATCACTTCCGAGGGCATTGAGACCACTCTGCAACAGGGGCAGGTGATTTTTGCATTGCAGCTTTCGTCAATTCCATGCCTCCACAGTTCTGATGGCAGCAGTGTTGCTTCGAATCGTATGGCTCTTGGTATCCAGAAGAACCGCCAAGTCGTTAATGCGCCTGTCCCAAAGCGAGAAAGGAAGCGAAAGCATCGCGCTTCGTTTCTCTCGGCAGGCCGCAAGCCTTGAGAGGTCCGAGTGCAAAGTCTGGGCCAGCTCCGTAAGCTCAGCCTCCGAGGAAAACACCGAAAAGTGCGAAAGAGACGACAGAGACGTCTCTCCAAAGTCAGGGGAGTTGTTTGTTGTTCGTTTCGCCTTGGTTTCATCGACCTTGGTGTTGATTCGCTCCAACTTGCCCCTGCGATTGATCGACTCTTCGTGCACCAGGCTGGTCTGCGCTGTGTCCTTCCAAAGGTGGAAGAAGAACATGGCGACATGATCGAAGCAGGAGCCAGGAGCATTTGCGGATAGCTGGGGCCCACGCTACTTTCTGGCCTTCCTGGATGTGCTGACTTGCAGGCTTGCATAACAGATGCAATTCCGACTCCAGTTCTGACGTGTCTACTCGTTCCAATCCTGCCTGCACAGATTCGTCCAAGCTTGCCAAAGCTGTCGTGAGATGTGCAACTTGAAGTTTGACCTGCTCTCGTGTAGCTCACTTTCTGCTTGAGACCACGCCCTGGCCCTGAATGCACCCGTGCCTGTGCAAGCGATTCAACATCAGCTTGCGCTTCTTTTGCCAGCGTTCTTTGCTTTGCCTGCCATGACCGATGCAGTTCCAGCTAGTGCGGCAAGAGCCGTCCACAGCGCCGTTTAATGTAAGAACGTGACTACCGACCTTGATCAGAACGTCTGAGGGTGCTCATAGTAAGACACTAAGAGCACTTCAGCCATAGTTGTGTCTTGCACTGCGAATCGAATAACACTAACACTGTGAACTGGTTTCCCAGCCTCCAGGGAATCGATGCGCGAAGAAAGTCGTGGCAGGCCTGCTTCACACAACGGAAGGCACATACAAACACTCCACCCTTCAGGCCCAAATAAACATCAGAGGCATCAACTCTCTGCGAAAGAAGTACAGCCTTGTCACGCCAACGTGCCCTGATGAGAATAACCGAAGAGGCTTACTGAGCACTGCCTTTAGGGCCAAGAGGACCCTAACGGCACTTGTGTCAAAAATGCTATCGGTCCTAACGAACTATGACCAACACTACAGCCATCTCATGCCATCTGCACAGCTGAGCGGCCATTCTTCTTGAGATCCTCCAGCTGATTTGTAGCCGTGTGCTGAAACTTTGAGAAAGCCGACTGTGTGTCCTCAGTTTTGTGTTCCTCGCTCGCTGTCACAAACTAGTTGGCAACTGCACAGTTGTATTGCATGTCGAAGGATTTGGCCCACACGAGAAAGCAAACGGGCTGACTGCTTTTCAACCTAGGCACGTCTGCAACTCGCTTTGCTTGCTCGACACGGCCAGATATCCCGGAGTAACAGTGGCTCAGAAAGTCGTTGGACCTTGTCAGCAAAGGCGTCACCGGCCCTAATTCTGCAAAAGCGATTCTGTTTGTCTGGGTGGCTCCCGCAGCCCATGCAGCTCTCCAGTAACCTCCGCCACTGCAGACGAGGTCTTCCTTCACAACACGAGGAAAGTCTGAACCATGGCGCAGAACTCGACTTCCCTCGGCCCTCGCCTTTGAATGGCTTGCAGGTCCCGCAGTTCAGCATCAACTCTGGCCTGCACCTCTTGGTTGGACCTCTGCAGAGCTGTACGCGTGCAGTCGGGTGCGCACGCTCAAGAAAGGCTAAGGTTGAGACGACAAGTCGGTCTGCAATCGCTTCAGCTCCTGTCGAACCTTCGTTGACCGCAAAAGGGTCAAGGACTGAGCTCCAACAACACAGAATCACTGAATGACTTTCCTCAATTCATGTAGCCCTACATGCACATTCATCCGGCTCCTCGATCCGACGTTGTGAGCTACACTGCCCCTTTGCTGACCCCAGCTCACAGCAAGCCTGCACAAACTCGTCCTCCACCTTGTGCTCGTCAATCTTTTTGCTTATCTCCGGCAGGAGCTCCTGCCTCAGGCCTCCAACAGCTGCATGCGCCTTCACAGGCAATGGCTCAGGCAGGCAAGAGACACTTCAGCCGTGGAATCCCTTCAAGGCCTGATTCACGTCCATTGTTAAGGTCATCAACTCCTGTCCATGCTGCCTTAGTGCAAAGCAAGAATGCAAGAACCTGGCTTCTGAAATCTTCTGCTCTGCACCTCACTGCATCGTACTGCACATCAGAACCGACATGGTGACATGGCGCTTCACCACGGTATCCGTGTGCTTCAGTTGCTCGGCCTTGCGGTTCAAGTCATCTCTGCATGCCTGGACACAGGACTTCATGTTGTTGCATGCTTGCGCTTCGGAGGGGCTCTGTCGCTTCAGAGATGTTGTAAGAAGTTCTTACGTTCCACTCGCTTCCTCCAGTCCAATGTCGCTCTGTGCCAGTAGATACTCCAACTGGTCATTTGAAACTCGACCATGCTAGCTTTCTTGTCGACCATGCTCTGGCAAACTGAGTTCGAGCGAAACAAGTTGCTTCTAGCAGCCTGCCTCAATCTCGTCTTGTAGATCCTTCAGCCGCTGAGAAAAAGGACTCAGCATACTCAGCAGATGCTGGTGCACGAAAGCCTGCATCTCCTCAGTGCAAGAAACGCAGTACACCCCTGCACAAAGGCTTCGTGGCAGACAAGAAGCCACTTCATGCTCTGTCGTGAGCCATGCCAGCGTCTCCGAGCGTTGAGCCTGGCAAGCTTGGCCCGACCGAGCGCTGGTCAAAGGGTCGAAGATTGCGTCTGATTGCGTATCGAAGATTCACAAGACTGAAAAGTCGAAGATGCTATTTGGGGGGCCCCTCCTACCGGCATCAGAATCCTCCTTTGGAGTACGTCAAGATGGACTTGCCGGTTGAACCCTGTAAAGCACAAAAACTGTCAGCATCCATAAGCTGGCAGGCGTTCGACAATGGTCGCACTGTCGGAAGGAATGGAAACTCACGGAAGACTCTGCTCCCACAGTGCCTCGAGGCCATCTACGGGCTTCAAGGCATCAAGCTGCGCCATGGCGACACTTCGAGGCCCTCGCAACTAACTAATCAGGCCTGCGCGTCTGGAGAAGTGTCAGACTCGAACGCTTCCATTCCGTTTCAGGCTGGGAGCCAACGCAAAAGCTCCGAGCTCACAGAATCAGCGACATTCAGACATCTGTTCTCCTTGGCTACTTGGCCTTTGCCCCCTAATTCGGTGTCTTACCAGACCTGTGCAGCATTGGAGGCCTCGGGCTTGGAAACCTGCTTTATCACCTCGCGAACTTCTACGGTGGGCACTTCCACGATCTTCTCCTTCGGAAGGAAACGCAGGTACTGAAGTCTTTCTGCGAAGGCTGCGAGCGCTCCTCGTAGATGATGTGCGGAACCTCCACCTAAGTGCCAGATGCTTTGGGCTCTGGAAATCTTCAAATACGAGGGCTTGCGGGGGAACAGTGCGGCTCAGATGCAACCTTTTCCACATACTGAACTTCCACCGTCTCCACCTGCTCACCGTTAGCAGTGCTCCCAACCAAACCCGAACAGCTCAGGGAAAGTTCTCGTACCACAGCTTGCGTGCACCGGGAGCACGATAAGCGAAAAGCACATGCTCAGAAAGCATAGCTGCACAGCTTGCTGGACTCCACAATGTTGTAAGCCTGCCTGCTTGTCGACCACTTGGACCTCATGCCGAGGAACCTTCGAGCCAAGGATACACGCTTCGCAGTGACTTCACACGACTCCCTCATTTCCCCTTCCTGCTTCACCAGCTCGTGCACTTCTACCTTCGGCACCTGAAGAGAAGCAGAGCAGACAAGTCTTCGTAATAAGCACAAGCGAACCTCGACGATGCATTCCTGAATCGTCGTATGTGGAATCTGCCGGGGGGAGAAAGAAGCATTCAAAATGACTCGATGATCGCTTCTTCTTGCCTCCACAACCCTCTCCACATACTCGTTGACTGGTTTTTCAATGGGCTTCGCCACGACTTGCACCTGAATTTGAGACATGTGCAAAGTAAACGAGCGCAGAGGTCGAACAGACGCAAAAACAGTGCTTCTGCGTGGTCAGGCATAGCTTAAATATCTTCTAAAGTTTCTCCCACCTCCGGTCGCGGCACTTCCTTCACAAGCTCCTTCACAGGGCTTTCGGCTTGGGCTTCCGCGAATTCAAGTTGTCAAGCTTCTAGCAACTACGACGCCAACACACCGTTACATCTTCGCTACCGGTAGCTGCTCTGGAAAATCCCAACCCACTGCAAGTCATAGCTGGCTGGTGAGTGCGGAGAGGCAGTTACGCCACAAACGTGTGAGCATGGGTGTGCATCACACAACGATGAAGAGAAGGAATTCTGGGGATTCATGGGCTCAGATACAGAGCCCGCAGCTCGCCCAGCCAAATGAACAGGACACTCCGGAATGGCAAGGCTGCAAGGCTGCTCCGTCAACGTCACACGGGTTTTGCGCGAAAAGATGAGAAGACAGTGAGGACGGAGGCGGCACACCGCATCGGATCACAAGGAAAAAAAAGCCCAGGTGGGGATGAAAGGAACCAAAGCAAGGCGCAGTCTGGACGGACGGTGAATCCAAATCCCCCTCTCCTCTCGCGCACAGGATAGCAACAACTGTTAAGAGCCGGATTTGCAGGCTTGCATTTCTGCGTGCCTTCGTGGTCGTACAGCATGAGTGCTGCAGCTCGGACAATCACGAGGAGGCGTTTTTGTACTCGGCTCTCTTGCCATGAACCAGGCCGTTTGTTCCGCCACGTGAAGGATTAACGAACTTGCTCGGCAGCCTCTTTCTTGGACCTGTTGTTGTCAAGCGACAACGAAGTCTGGACAGGATCCTAAGGCATTGGCAAAGGGATCTTTCTGGGATCCCAGCACGGCTGCCGCATCGCTCGGGCAGCAAGAAAGAATGACAAGCAAGAATCAACAGCCGTTTCAAAAGATGACGCTGAAGAAGGTAGAATTCGCCAGAGTTGGCACCAAGACAAGCGCACACAATGTGAATCTATGAACCATTCACAACTGCCCTCAACTACAGGCCCTGCAACGCCCACATCACGGATGGAAACTCAGGACATCGCCGTGCTAGCTCTCCCTGCTGGCTTGGACATTCGGAGCCTCGACATGAACTTGGGGGACCTCGACCATCTGCTCAGCAACCATTGCAGTGGGAACCTGTAAAAAACTGTTCTTGTCGTGTGCCGCTTGCACATGTGCCGAGATCAAGCAGTGCGCAGAGTTTGCCACGGCCTCGACCACTCGTTCCCGGCACTGGTAGACCGGCACACCGACCTCTGAATGACACCCCGGCATCGGTCAATTCTACACCTGTGCATTGTGCAGCCCACCTGCTTTTGCACCTCCCTCACTTGAGTTTTGGGGATCTGTTTCACCAGGTTCACATACTCGATCTTCGGAACCTGCGCACGTTCCAAACAGCCGCTGACATTAATAGTCAAGAACCATCCGCCTCCTCGATCCGCTCCTGTATCAAGACGTGGGGTACTTCTACGATCTTCTCAGTGACCTGAGTGACGCGATGTCAAAACAACAGAGAGACAGAGAGAGAACAGCAGAAAGGGTTGAGTAGCCTCGTAGACTGGTCTCGCCACTTCCTTGGTCACTTCCTGCACCTGTCGCGGCTTGAGCACATCGCTGCACGGCTAACTCGCGAAGCGCATCCAATATTGAACACTTTTCATTGCAACGCGAAGCAGCAAGTTCAGGTCAGAAAGAGCGCATACCTTGGCACACAATAACTGCCACAAGCTCCCGAGTGCCGTCAAACTATGAACGATGAATCTTCCAGGCTGCAGCAAGGACGAGTGCTTCTCTCTGCCGGCACCTGCATAGCAGTCTGGCTCCTCCTACCGCACAAGAACTGCAAGCAAGTGCAATGTAAATGTATACAGTAGCAACACTACGACACGCACTCTGAACGCTCCTTCAGTAGTTCGAACCCGGCACGTTCGTAGCAGGCTCGAGCCACACCTCGTAACAAGTGCGATTTCGTCCGCTTAAGTTGCAAAATCCGATACCCTGCGCTCATGCCATAAGTTTCATGGAAGGTCATCCGAAGGGCGGTTGTAGCCTGCGAGGTGCAAGGCCTCAGCTCCAGCAATCGATGGATGATGAGTACAAGACAGTACAAGATGTCAACTTTGATAGTGGTGACCGAAACTGGTCCAACAGTTCTCAGTCGCATTCCACAGCTCTGAGCGATGTGTCTTTTGGACCACCCGTGCCTGCAAGACGCGAGTTTCATGACGAAAACGAGAGCTCCCGTGACCGTACCAAACGAGAGCTCCCCATCCTCCGAAGAGCTCCTCTCTGGGCTTGGCCGCAGTGCGTAGGGCACTCATCGCCCGGCGGAGCAGCGCAGATGCGAGGCCACGGCGCCGGAGCTGCGAGTGCAAACGGCCCAACAGAGCCGAAGCAGTGCAACGCCAACGCAAAACACAGCTCTCTGCCCGTCTGCCTGCCTGCCTGTCTGTCTGTCTCTGTCTGTGCTTGTCTCGTCTTCGAGGCATAGGAGGCACGCCTATGCCCCTCGCGCCGAAAGGCGCAACCCTGAGAGGCTTTGTAGGAGGGTGTGAAAACAACAGCAGAAGCGGAGCAGGACTGCAAAAAGGTTTGGTTCTGTCTGTCTCTGTCTGTCCGTCTGTCCGTCTGTCGGTCTGTCCATCTGTCCGCCTATCCGTCTGTCCGCCTGTCTGTCTGTCCATCTGTCCATCTGTCCATCTGTCCGTCTGTCCGTCCGTCGGTCGGTCTGTCTCTGTCTCTGTCCGTCTGTCAGTCAGTGTCAGTGCTTCAGTCAGTCAGTCAGCCAGCCAGCCAGCAGCCAGCCAGCCAGCCATCCATCCAGTGTCGTTCTATCTGTCTGTCTGTTTGTCTTTCTGTGTGTCTGTCTGTCCTCCGTCTGTCTGTCAGTCTGTCAATCAATCAGTCAATCAGTCAGTCAGTCTGTCTGTCTGTCTGTCTGTTTGTCTGTCTGCGTTTGCAAGACGAGATTTCTCTTGACTGTGTCGACTCGGAAGTGCTGCAAATGTGGTGTGTTGACTCGAGACAAATCTGCATAAAATCTGACCGCTGCTGTCTTGGAAGGACCTCTTGGTGTCTCAGCATTCCCCATCTGCCGAAGCAGCAAGGTGGTCAATGGTGGTCATGCTAACGTCGTGCTGCTGAAAGTGGGAAGCGGTCTCTTGGTGCATGTGTTGCAAATGGATGAAGGTTTCAACATGCATATCATCCGATGACATCCGATGATACAACATCATACATCATCATACCCTTCCTTACGTGTCCTCAACTCAGCTATACGTCGTGTCACCCATCTCGCCTGACCTTGCCCAGGCACTACAGTTAGTGTTGAGTTTTCGCCTCTTGAAACTTGGAATTTCTACCCAAATCCCTCTCCTGGCCTCCTCCTCACATTTCGCTGAATTCTAGTCTTCACCTCCCCTTCAAGATTACTCCCCCCCCTCCCGTTTCCTCCACATGTACTCAAATCCCCCTTCTCTCTGCCATGGCATTGTCAAGCAATTCCTCCACGGATGCCTTCACATTCCCTTCAGAAAATACTCCACTGCCCGTTCGTCTCTGAAAAGCTTCCAGATGCCAAGTACCATGCCAAGTACAGGTGCCTTCGGAACGGACGTCTAGGGCAGAACACACGCGGAGTTTGCACAGAGAAGCATTGTCGGATTTGCGAGATTTGCAATCACTTCAGCCGGTTTCGCCGAGCATTGTCGGGACTTGAGCAATTGCACACGGGCATGTCTCAATAAAGAACAAGAGCAACACAAGAGTAAGAAAAGCAAACAGTTCAAACAAAACATAAGCTCCAAAACGGAACATAGCACGCCCACCTCGGCCTCGCAGTACATGACAGGGACCCGAAGGTCAGCATACTCTTTCGCATGCTCTGGCATTACAAGGCATTACAACAGTACGAAAGGTTTCAAGACGTCGCATGCAAAAGGCAGCTGTTCTCCAAGCCTCGCCCAGGCTGCCTAGACTCAGCACGTAGCCAAGCTCTCTGCCATCGGCACCTGCCACGGCGATGTCACAATGCTGATGGTGCGAGTACTCAGGCCGACTTCTTGGGCAAGGGCTGTCCCACGCGATGTACTTGGGACGTGCCACATCGGCTCGCAGCATGTCTGCGGTTTCTGCACCGGCAAACTCCTTCAAGCATTCTTCAAAAGATGCACAATGTCCAAGAAACGGCATTATGAACGAAGGCCCTGGTCTCTCAGAAGGCTCCCACCTCTATAGCCTCGCGGCTTGCGAGGGCCACCACAATGCCAACTGGAGCAGCTGTTTCATCCTGAAAGTTGCCGGTCAATAAGCTTTTTGCCTAGGTATTTGCTTCCTAGCAATGTCTGCAGTGCGCCTCCTGGCTGTGAGCGGAACTGTTGTTGCAAATATGAAACTGACAGTATCTCTTTGGTTGACCCGCTGCAAATCACGCTAAGACCGCTCAGAGGATTCGCCGTGCCACAGATGCTTAGAGCCCCAGCCTGGATATCATAAAATGGTATTTCGTCACGGATGCTCCAGCTGCATTTTGGCTTCCGCCGTTGAGCTTAGCCGCTTAGCCCTGAGCTGTCCTGAGGGATCGTGGCTTTAAAAGCTATGACGCCAGGATGACGCAGCAGCTGGGCACACCAAGGCTCACCTCCTTGTCGCTCAGAGATGCCCGATCTTGCTCAACATGTTGAGTTACACTGAGTACACTTGCCAGCGCTGTTGCATCTGCGATCCTCTGCACGATTCCTTTGGAAACCACTCTTCCTGTGTCGAGAACACAAAAAAAGCGACATCCAGCGGTGCATCGCCCCGTGTCCTGCAAATCTGCTAGGTCTTGAGCATCCTCTGGTTGCATGGGCACGAGAAGGAAATCCTGCATGGATGCTTTTCACGGATTCAAGTGCTCCATCGTGTGGTCGATTCCAGCACGAACTCCGGACTGTCCGATGACTTCGTCACCGTGTTCAGCAGGTCGGGCTGGCCCTCGATCCTGTCTGCAGATGCATCCCGTATACATGTTGACCCAGTATCGAAACACAGGATCATATGTCACCATGCCAAATGCCTGAAGGATGGCGCATATCGGTCTCAGAAAAGCGCCAGTGCGTCCGAGATGCAAACGATGTGCACGTGCTCGCAACTCAGGTGCTGTGGAACCTGCCATTCCAACCTACAACAGCTACAATCGTGGTCTGCTAAGTTTCCAAGAAACAGGAGAACTCTGCAGCAGAATCGACCTGGCGGTAGTGCCGACGACAGCGGAACGGGTCCATCCACCTCTGCACAAGGTGCATCGTCCTTCTGGCTGCTAGATGCGACTCTGGCGTCTCGAACTCAGGCCTCTGGGCATCTGGAACATAGGGCCGTGACATGATAAGCTTGCATTACGACTCTAAACCTAACCTTCCATGTAGCTGGAGCATCGACGAACCAGCTCAGGGGGAACTGTCAATGCCTGTCGGAGCTGCGGCTTGGCCCGGTTGCCTTTTGCACCTGCAGCTGATGCCAACTTGAAGCATAGGTGTCAGTGTACTGACATTGCTATTGCCGCAACTGTTATTGAGGTCTCTACAACCGCGACTTCTGTTCTTGAGTGACGCTTGGGCTGTGGCGAAGCTTGTCGACCAAGCCATACCGTGCAACTTTTGGTTCTCGCACGGGCCACCACAAGAAAGACCTCACATTGTCGAAGATGCATCCAGAAGTTCACAGAAGTACTCTAGGAGTGAGCACGAGCACACCAAGGTGCGGAACTTCGCAGATACCCGACTCACGGGTTGGTGAAGCTACACAAACTATCTTCTCTCATCCAGAGGGTTGCCAACCTCTGATTAAAACCTACCCGTACTGATGATCTTATCAAATTCTCGGCAAGGGTTACGTACTGCAGCTGCAATACTTCCCTGCAGGCCTGCTCGCCCAACATAACATCAGCAAGGCTGCCATCGGCTCAAACACACGAAATGTGCCCATGGTCAGAGGCAAGTTTATCTAGAGTGAAGAACTTAAGCATCTCTATCTGGGACCCTATGCAAAGCGTTCAGAGCAGTTAGGGTCCCACACTATTGCCCGCGACATAACTTGCTGCGCAAGTGGTACAAGCGGCAAGTCAGCTTGGCATTCCGACGTGGTGGTACAACTTAACGATCAACGCCAGAATGCAGAAGCAACTGTCAACTGTCACAGTTCTTCCCACGTGGCAGGAGCTGCGATACACAGGAGCACGGACAGCTCCCGTCCGAAGTTCTGTAGCATTCTCGACCATGTTTAAGATTTCAGAGACATCTGCATAGCTTTCTTTGCGTCGCATGTCAAGTCAGAACTGTAAATCGGTCTTGCGTCATGAGACTCACACATCTAAAACCCTCTAGCTCAGACAACGCTCCAAGCCGAACGGCCAGCAAACAGGTCCATGCAACCGCTGCTGCTGCGGCTGTTCGGCGCCTCAACCCGCGGAACTTGCTTTAGAAGGATCGTCTCCTGTATCTTGGGCACCTTCAGAAGCACGCGGCTGGCACATAAATCGAGCTTTGCCATGCAAAAGCTCCAGCAGGTTCAGCACGATCGAAAATGAGCAGTCAGTTTCAGCCTCCACCACTTTTTCCTGATACAACACCGTGGGAACCTGAGGCATACATATACATTCACCTATCAGACCCGGACGTCTGAAGCTTCCTCCCTCACTTCCTCCCTCAGCACCTCGCCTCAACGATCTGCTCTTCGATTTGCACCTGTTGAAAAAGCTTCAGCATCTTGTTTTAGGCATGGTTTTGACCCGAACCTCTTGCATTGGAGGATTCGCGCAAGGCTCGACACATGGGCCCGAAGCCATTGCCTTGTCGCAATACACATGGCAATTTCTTATCCATCGCGACATTTCCATTCAGTACGCATGCTTAAGTGGTAGGAATTGGCAGCGCCATTTACCTGTGCCTGCGCACGAAGCGCACCGGCTGCAAGTACTCCATGACCCTTGCGCACATGTCAGACTTGCCGATGAAAGGTCGGAAAACAGGCTACCACGCCTCGAGTTTTGGACCGGGTCGGCCGGGTCGGCACGACCCCCACATGGCTCGGGTCTTAGTTTGGACCAGGGCTACTCGCGGATCGGAAAGCACAGCTGAGTCTGGACCAACAAGCCATTCGGAAGGGCCAAACGGAATTGCTCCGGGTGAAGAATAGGACATAACCTATTTCACTGTCCAAGCTACAGCTAACATGTTCATGACACGCTCGGAGCCAAATCTTCTGCAACAACAAACCTACACATCTGGGCTCGGCTAAATATTGGCAAGGTTGCACATTCACATTCTTGGCCATCAATATCAGCCACCCGCGATACTTATTGACGTTCACTTCGGGCTTTTGTGTCATATCGAATTATGGCAAATCATTGATTGAACAAAACCCTGTGGTAAAAAGTTGGACTGCCCAGAGAAAAAAAGATTTAACCGGGACACTGATTTCGAGACCGAATTTTGCAGCGATTTCGACTTCATCGACGCGGCTCTTAAGTGTTCTTGCAACGTGCAAACACACAGATTCCAATGGATTCAACGACCTAGATTGCAAAAAAAAGAAAAATGTCATTGAAGATGCCGTTCAACAAAAAGGATCTGCTGTGCGGTTTGTATCTTGATCAGCTCGGCGGAATAACGCCTAACCATAGCCGAAAAATCTTCAGCGACAAGAGAGGCTTTCTTATTTCCAAAATAATGCCATGGAGCAGATGCGGGGCCTGCGACGGCCAAGAGTTTGCTGGCGGGGCAAACACTCTGAAGCTGGAGTCCGTCTCATCCATCCAGCAAGTCCGACACGGGGCTGCATCCAAGCAGTTCAGCAAAAGGGACTTTAAGAAGCCTTTAAAGGTGAAGAGACTTGAGCCAATTTGCAATGTGGTCAATATGCCACATGCTCAGACATGGTTCTGATGGAGCAATTCACTCTCTTCCTTGGCCAATGCTCTTCAGGCAGTGGCCAGACTTAATACAAAATCATTTTACTCTGGAGGCCCCTACACAACAGTGACCAAAATCCTGACAATTTCCGGACC